TTATCTCTCCGTCTTTGTCTCTGTACTTAATTTTTTTTACACCACTGATGCTTTTGATAGTTGCAGAATATTTTCATATATCGATTTTTAGATTTTTTTATCCCTTTTTGAAAACACATTATGTTAATGCACAGGTGTATGATTTAATAGGGGGATGAAAACAAGCATTGTTACTGAGTGCACTGTCGGTAGAAACGACGAATCATCTCATAATTGTTAGCTTTTTAACAGTAAAAAAAATATTACATAACCGTTTTATAGTCAACGAATTTTGACATGTAAAGAATAAGTTAGAAATTATAATTGATTATTTGAATGTGGGAGTTTTCTAGTGTTAATACTGTAAAAATTATTGTTTGAAAAAGCTGTACTCATCTAGTTATAGACTGTACATAGTAAGTTGACATGGTGTAGAAAAACGTGCCTTGTGCACCAGCAGGTGTAATGTCAGGGCGACCATTGGGGACAAACGAAAATCTACACCTACTGTCACTTTAAAGTGTTTTCATTTCCCTTTATTGTCAATACCGTCAATAGTAGAGCTAGTTTCGGGGAGTTTTCCTCCGCGAGATTCTCCCGTGATGACGCGGATACCGAACGGGCTACGACCCTTCAGATAAACAGAAAGGGCTAGTGATTTGGGTCTTAAGGGACAATAAGACAGGTGGGTCGGCGAGCAGGCGGCTTAAAGGGGCTGTGGCACCTGCCCTACCTTTGAATATTATAGGAGAAACTAAAATATTCATTTAATGTATTATTAACTTGTGACCGTAAATGACTTGTCATTAATATACACCATAGTTTGAGCGCAAGGTGGATCTGTGAGTGCATCATATTCCGTGCCCTGTCATGTCGCCCAGGCGCACAAAGCCATTACGTTAATGCGCGTGCCGGTTAGTGAAGTGTCTCCCTTATTCATACCTGTTGGCGAGAAGGGGGAAATATCCTCCCATCTCGCGATGAGAATGAGACGGGGTGGATAATTTTTCCCTTCCCGGTAATTTCATCTTGTGTTAGCATGGGCTTTTAAATAATGGTGTTCTCTAGCAGTATTTTAATGCTATTACTATTTTAATATAATGATGCATTTTTTCAAGTGTTCTTAACAGTATGTTCCATTATTTACTTTGTTTCTACATCATATCAAGGAATACTGAAGAAACTTAAAAGGAAAAAAAATACATTTGATTTATCGTTGATCTGCCAATCCGACATTTTCGGGAATATCTGGCAAGTCGAAAAATGTCGTAAGTTGCCTGAATAAGATATACCATTCGTGTAACAGAATAAAATACATTATCACGTGATCTATTACAAATTATATTATATTAAAAATATCAACTCATCTACAATAAGATTCAACTAAGTTATGGAATCCATGATTACACGGAAAAATATCAAATCCTTTTCAAAATATATTTCCTAATTTATCATATAAACCCAGATATTATAGAGTCAGTTGAGACTGTCGAATTATTAGCAGGCAACCTGTTACTAGCATGTTCCGCAAGTTGTAGTCCGGAAACCATGCAGTCTGGACGGAAATATTAGGGAATGGGTTCCCGGTACCTTTTTTTTATACCCACTGGTCCGGTAAATCGAATTCTGGATTCGGAAATGATTCTTGAGAACAAATTTGTAAACAACATTCCCGCCATATTCTGGACTTTGTTGACTGGCACGTGATATTTATAAAATTATATGTATCTATATTTAGTATCATTTTCATTTAGAAATAAAGAATTGTTCTTCAATCTACTCAAACTTTCTACACTAAGAGGGTAAGAAATCAGAATTCCGATTAAAAGCTGCATGATGAAGTGAAAAGTCTTTATATCTGAGGTGATCAAATCGGATGGAATAGATAAACATCATTATTTGCTTAAAACTATGCCCAGCAAACACAGACAACAGTTTATATCTGCCAACATTGTAAATAAGCGAAAAAAAATAGATCTTTTTTAAATTTATGTTCCTGCAAGTTTGCATTTCCAATATTTCTTTTTGACCAAACAATGTTAAAGGGTCTGAAAGACTTTTTTACCATTTTATTAAATAAGATTCTCTAAAGACATATGTTGATTTAAACATTGATGAGTAATGTGTATTATTTACGTAGGAGACGGATATCACAATACCCAGCCAAGGACTTGTTATACATCACAAAAACACACGATATCACAATACCCAGCCAAGGACTTGTTATACATCACAAAACACACGATATCACAATACCCAGCCAAGGACTTGTTATACATCACAAAACACACGATATCACAATACCCAGCCAAGGACTTGTTATACATCACAAAACACACGATATCACAATACCCAGCCAAGGACTTGTTCACAAAACACACGATATCACAATACCCAGCCAAGGACTTGTTATACATCACAAAACACACGATATCACAATACCCAGCCAAGGACTTGTTATACATCACAAAACACACGATATCACAATACCCAGCCAAGGACTTGTTATACATCACAAAACACACGATATCACAATACCCAGCCGAGGACTTGTTATACATCACAAAACACACGATATCACAATACCCAGCCAAGGACTTGTTATACATCACAAAACACACGATATCACAATACCCAGTCAAGGACTTGTTATACATCACAAAACACACGATATCACAATACCCAGCCAAGGACTTGTTATACATCACAAAACACACGATATCACAATACCCAGCCAAGGACTTGTTATACATCACAAAACACACGATATCACAATACCCAGCCAAGGACTTGTTATACATCACAAAACACACGATATCACAATACCCAGCCAAGGACTTGTTATACATCACAAAACACACGATATCACAATACCCAGCCAAGGACTTGTTCACAAAACACACGATATCACAATACCCAGCCAAGGACTTGTTATACATCACAAAACACACGATATCACAATACCCAGCCAAGGACTTGTTCACAAAACACACGATATCACAATACCCGGCCAAGGACTTGTTCACAAAACACACGATATCACAATACCCGGCCAAGGACTTGTTCACAAACCACACGATATCACAATACCCAGCCAAGGACTAATTCACAAAACACATGTGCTTCAGTAAAACTACATGCCCTTGCTGTTGTATAAAGGAATAAAGCACCTATGTCACGTACATACATAAAGTATAATTCTTGTCATTTGATAAACTGAGGCTTTCTTCCTTCAATCGTGACGTCATAAGAGGGAACATCGAAAGGTGTTATCCACTTTAAGACTTGAACGATATTTGCCTATTGTATAGATCTTTTTCCTGTTAGTCTGGTGTATTTTAAACTAATCATAAACAATACGAAATTTACACGTACATTGTATATGTACTTAACATCACTTGGAGGTTGAGGGCGTTTCTTCTGTGATAATTATAAAGTCAAATGTATTAATAGTTTTGTTTGAGTGTCACTCATTTTCCAAAGGAGAGCCGTAAAGTAGAAAGTTATGTATACCGTGTCAAGTCTGCACAAGAGAAATTTGCTAGATCTTACAAAATATGTAGTCTAATTAAATACATAATCGTAGATATTGTATAAGGAAAACGATGTCGTTCTATTGAAAAACGATATATTTAGTATGCTAAATATATCAAAAGCCTTATCTTAAATCAGAGTAACAGGTTATTTTTTTTATTTTTTATTCATTTATTTTTATTTACATTCAATATTTTTTAAACTATTCATAGAAGCATCTCCGCAATATCGGTCTCTTTTAAATATCAAAATATAATCAGCGTATAGCGATGTATATTTTGGTCTCTGGTCTGATCTATAATTCTCGTGTTGATCCACATTACGCTGACCAACTCTATAAGACCTTGAACAGCGACAAATTCATAACTACCTTTATATTACAAATATTTCATTATTATTTTTTAAATGGAAAGAAATTATCAGTTAACTAAAAGAAAAAAATCTATAACTTCAACTGATATACAATATAAGTATACATGTTAGTATGCAAGAAAGAGAGAAATTATAGATAATTGAGGACGAAAAATAGCTATAACCTCGACAGGGTTAAAAAGAAGATATTAAAAGAATTATTGAGAAGAATAAAAGAAAAAAAATTACCAATGACACCAAAGAGTTTTTTGTAAGACCAGATAAATATGGAAAGGGAGACGAAATTGACCTGTAACGAGCGAATCTTCCACAATAAAGACCTGTCAGATGGTAGGAATGATTTATATAGAGTGGCCCGCGCGACGAATCAAAGTTTTAATGACAAAGGATAGTCCATACAAGCACCTGTCGACTTGTTACGGAGGTCTTGTAGTTATCCACCACAAATACCTCACCTGCGATATTTACACCTGCTTGCTGAATTATGTGGCGACAAATTTTTACCTGTTCCGCCGTTGTCGTTATCAATCACTTGTACAATAAATACTACGCTATTATCATGCGCAGACAAAATTCTACCTCTGCGAGATATTAAATGAGCACATGCTTTAAATAACTGAATAAAAAAGAAGAACAGTTATTAAGAAATTATCGCTTTAATATCACATTTTGAACAATTATAGTCAACTGTGGATCGAAGTTTTGGTCGTTAACAAACAGAGATTAAAATCTTTCAATCAGTTTCTAATGAGAGTTTAAATTCTCTAATTTGAAAAATACCGTCCGGTTACTCATTATTTCGCGGCGAAGTAAAATAACGATTATACTCTCCGTGTTAATTCACACAAGACTTTTATGCGTTCATTGATTCGTTATTTAAGCACTTTGTAGTAATCTTCCACTAGTAATCCATTACGAATAACAATGACCATATTTTTGCACGAGTCCCTTTAAAAAACTTTCATACGTGTTGTTTTGAAAGTTTTTATTATTAGTCTCAAATGACATCAGCAGAGCGTCGTTCGGCGATTGTAGCCAATAAATAGATGAACAATTAGTCAATAAATTAATTAATTAAATGATACAAATCAGCAATTACAATTCTATTCTTGGAATCATTGCACTAAGTTTACACAACAACTGTCCTCGTGTTTCAGAAGCAGTGACATTCGGGAGAATGTTTTGCTGCAGCGCTTGCAGCTGTACTTTTTGACCTCGGAATGGGTCTGTAAATGAGCGCGAAGATTGGACCTGTCTGCGAATGCACGTCCACAATGGTCACAGCGGAAAGGTTTTTCACCTGTATGTGTGCGTATGTGGCCCTGGAGGAGCCATGGACGTGAAAACGCTTTCCCGCAAAGTTTACATTTGCACGGTAGAGTATGTGTCCTTATGTGCATTTTGAGCGCTCCTAAAGAGACATAGGTTTTTTCACAATACTTGCAGCTAAATTCTTTCTTTACCTGGCTAGAACAATGGAATTGTTTGTGTTTGGAGAGTCCGCTAAATGTAGAATAACTTTTGTTACAACCATCACACTGGTAGCGGGTAGGTTCTCCCTCCCGGAGTTTCCTCTTCCCGACCCCGGAAAGGTCAAGTTCCATCGTAGACACTGCCGGAGAAAGGTTATACTTGGAAACTACAGGATCGAATGCAGATGACTCCATACTGCTACTTAATATATTTGTGTCTGAACTCTTTACCTCGTGACTATATTGCTTTTCTGGATGGGCTGGGTATCCAAACGGTGATGGCGGGAAAAACTGATGCGGAGGAAATAAAGACCTTAGGGAACTGTACGCCATAACGGGATCTGGAAAGGCCTTTCTGTGGAGTGGATCTGCCATGGAAGCGAGAAGAGGGAAATTGGTAGCCATTCCTGGAAGTGATGGAAGTCTTAAACCCATAGGAATATAGGGAGAAAAGTGTGGTGTAATTCCAGGATACATGGGAGTCTGCCAAGGAAAATTTTCAAAGATTTTTGGCGGTTCCGCTGGACTACTAGGACTCCTTTGGCTACCCTTAGCAGGGTCTCCGCCACGCGCCTGCAGCGCGCGCTGTGGAGTGTCAACTAAGGCCACCGCTTCAGCAGGTGGTTTTGTGCTGAGATCGTAAACCTGTGTCGCTGCGATCACCTGCTCTTGTGGCACGTGCACGGCCGGTTTCTCTGTAAATAAAAAGCCAAAGAATAGCAATATGGAATTACATCAAACGCATCGGCGATCCTTACAAACTAGAAATAAATGTAATGAAACGGAAAAAGCTATTTAGTCAAACACTACCGACAAATCATTAAGAAGCTGTGCCTTAGTTTCATTTCCACCTGTTACTAAAAGGGCGGTTCGCTCTTGGCTAGCGCAAAGATCAATGTTATCGCCACGCAAGGAAAATGTGTGACTCCCGTTTTTGTGTAAGATGTCGATTACCTTTTAACAAATCTCAAACATCAATCGTTACGAAGATGTCTCAATGAATACCTATCTTAATTGAATGACCACGGACAACACTTGTAGATATTTTCTTCAATTATATTCAAATCTTACAAAAGAACTGTACTGTGTTCACATAGAGTGCACGGATTGTTACTATGGAGCTGGGATTAAATGAAGAAGAAAAAATCACTGTATAGATAGTTCAAAAGGAACTGTTTATTTGTTGATGACTTCGATGTCGATATCTTCTTAACAATAAGTGTAATTTATTTTCTCCGGTATATATGTCAGAAGTTGTCATTAAGAAATTTGAATCAAATAAAAGAATTAAAATCAGAATTTTCATCACAATTCTTCATGATATTCTGTAAGAGATGAATGCGTAATACAGTCTGCCGACATAAACACTTGTGCGCGTGACAGGTGTTTTGTAATCCTAGTGAAAGAAGTCCCATCCTGGCTGTTTGAGATATACACGTCCTCGACTAAATACACATACTCATCATATTTGTCGAATTTTGTCATATGTTTATCTTTATTCCATCAGTCATCAGAAATACCTATACATACTAACGTTCTCTGACTAAAAATGATCGCCAAAGACAGTACCCGGATGTTTAATTAAATAACTCTGTTTTAGTTCTCCTGTAAATTGATGGTATGACGTAGTTTCTTTGTCTTTCAGAATTTGAATAAATTTATTATTCATTCATTTAAGCAGCATAAATGATCGAATCGGGAACAATTTTCTAAATCTTATGAAAGTTCGAGTATAGTTTAATTTATTGTCACTTTTCCATTAATCTAGACAGAATGCTCCGTCTACTTTTATCCATTAATCTAAATTTGCTATTTCCTGTTAAGATAGTTTAGGTCTCTGATTCCAGATATATGTTTAAATTTGACAAAAAGTTTCCTTCGTTTGAGATAAATGTGTATTTTATGTGTGTTGGTTAAACCTATCAGTTATTTTAAATATCGAATTCAAATCACAGATTGAAATGACAATTTGCTTATGGTCCAGGTTATAATTTTATCTTGATTTTTATAAAAAGGAAAACGAAATCATATGTGGCCAGACAGTGGGAATTTACCCCTATAAAGCTTGGGCAATAGGTGATACAGTGAATTTCACGCTGAAAGTTTCAACAACAGATAATTTCAAGCTAACAAATCTTTTAAAAGTTAGCATGCCTCTGTTCTTGTTGTAGCTTTTATACAGATAAAGGTACCACTTTCTAGTACTTCTCTTCTCTGTAAATAATCCTATTACGCTCTGACAACCTATCATATTGACGTGCAGACATTATTTCATAAGATGGTCATTCAACTACGCGTTAAGTAGAAGGCTTTTAACTGCATTTCAAACTTCAAAGGGTTCCAGTAATTATTTAATTGCAGATGGAGTATTTTCACCAAAGATTTCGACAACTATTCTTATTGTCATTGTCACATTTTCCGTAGATTTGAAGAAACAAATGAAAAAATTAGTTTCACATATATTGTAATTTTTACCAATGATTATAATTGTTTTCTTTTTCCTCGAGGTAAATACGACTTCTGTTTGTAAAAGCTGATAATACATTATCAATAAAATCGATATATCGATCAGTGTGAGTGTTTTGTTATCACATAAATTCATTGTTTTCTATGTTTAAATGATACAAGTGGAAAATGAAGACAATATAACAACAGATTTACAATAATATGTTTTAAAAACCCTTACCAAGTCGGTTACAGTTTTCATCTAAAACTCCGCTATTGTTTTCTATTTCTTCCGTCGTTTTTTCTTCTTTGACAATATCCATTCGCTCCGGAGTTACACTGAGGTCCAGTTCGGGCATATCTTTATCAATGTCTCTATTCTGGTCAGTTGACGAATCCGTTGTATGTTTTTGTTGAGTCAAATCGACAGGTGTATTTGTCGAACATAAATTACCATCCGAGTCTCGATGTCTGACTAGAAAAGATTTCGGCATCACTATCGAATCACACTGTTGGGTGCTACTGTGATCAGCCACTATATAGACCTTTCACTGCAAATTTAAATCACCTTACTATCTTTCACAAACTTTCAATTCTAGTCGTCACACAAGAGTGGTTTTAAATGTGTAGGACTTCGCTGTGAACTTGACTTGTCAATTTTTCCGTGTTTTGATTTTGGACCTTGTGTGTAAATATATACGTATAAGCTACCCGTTGTGACTGTTCTTTACCGGTCGTCCAATCACAGACCACGATATTTTGTCCATCATACTTCGCCAACCAATCACAGAGAAGGTCTGCATTATGCGACTCCACCCACTGACAGCGATGCAACAGGTGTGTTTGAACTAACACTTAGTAATATCAAGCCCCTGGAGAAAATAATCCCTGTTTAAAGATTTGACTGAAACATGTTAAAGACTGCAGGTTTACCGATGTCATAAATCTTGCACGTGGCGGCAAGAAGAGAAAATTATTCCCAATAATCTATAAGAAACCAACCTGGGCCCTTTCCCGAATGAATTACATATATAATTTCTCTTCAGTCTGGCGAAGAAGTGATTGACAGCTGATGGTGACATAATTTTATCCTATCTTTTCAATATTTTCTGCTGGTATAGGTTTTAATCTTATCGATAGCCCTATATATGTCTATTTGTATGATTGATTTCCGACTGCTGTAAATGTGTTGAGTCTCTATCTGATAAACAGATTTAAAGCAATGTTATACACGCATCTTATTTCATTTCAGATTACTCTCAAATGACCTGCCCACTGTTTTAAATTATCTCACTAATGACGTGGTCATTTGATTAATTGATTGATTGATTGATTAATTAATTGATTGATTGATTGATTGCAGTCTAATCTATATTTACTTATCATGTAAAAAGTAATTAATATAAACTGACTGAATTTTGCCCAAACACAATGTTTAAAGAAGACTTTACCATTATACTTAGAAATATCGGGATAACAGATTAAGAGAGGGCAGTGTCAAATGGAATATTTTCAAAGAAATTCACAGGCTTGGGGATTTGGGGAGCAAATATCCATAGCATGTTATCGAACGCAGTATAACGTAGCATTGCATAGCTGTAAATATGTTTAACAAAAATCGTGTAGTCATATCGATATTATCCTGAAATCAAGATGCTTTGCAATTTTTGCTTTTAAGTGAAAAAAAAAACTTCTTCAAACCCTCACTGAAACCAAAATGATAAAAATGATATAATGTTTGAATCCACACAGCCACATAAAGTAACCATTTCACAGCTCTAGACCTGTTGAGGCAGGTTCAGTTGGTTGTTTAGTAGTTTTGGTTTGAAAGTCCTGTTTTTTTGGGCAAACAATTTAACACGAAGTAACCAAATGTTGGATACCGTGGCCGGCTATTTTTTTCCCTCTGCCTGTCCTTAATTTTTCTTTTTCAATTCTGTATCTTTGTCGTATTAGAAAAAATGGGCGGTTTTTCGTATATTATGTAAATTCTGCAATTTGTTATTACAACCCGATATTAAAGCTGAAATGAATTATAAAAAAATAAATAAATAAATGACATAAAGCCAAAGACGGTATTTCATTTTAAAACACACAATCTTTTTGTGCCATGAGCCCTATCAGTGGAACAAAAAGAATAAACCTTCGTTGCTGAAATTCGTTTCCTCCCATTTCTATGATCGAAATAAAATTAAAACAATACAACTCGTAGCTACGAATCAACAATATAGATATTACTCATGTTTCTCCTACCTCTTTACATACACAACAGGCTGAGCTCAGTAACTCATAAAATAAATAACAATTCGGCCCAGATTGTTTCAGAAATTTTACTTTTTTTTGGTCAAATTCACTAAAATTTATGCATTCATTAAAGAGTTTAAAGATAGAACTGACATGTTTAAAATTAATTTGATGTAAAATTTACTAGTTCGGTAGTGGGCTGTCTGCTACATTTACTTTGTCTAGTTTTATGGGGGAATTTAAAGTATTACTTTACATATTTGTTTAAGTAGGGTTAATTAAGATATCTAACGTACATACACATAACAATTCAATACACACTTACACTAGTACAACCTGCTGTCAATTTAAACCCCTCTTTTCAAATATTTAAACTCAGAAATAAAGAAATACATAATTGTACTTTTAAATGTGTAGTTTAAGTACTGTTAATTGGAAATCACGTGCATACAAAGAGCTCGGTAAGGTACACACTCAGAGCGAAAGGACCAGTTCAGATTAAACACCCAAAGTAGGTAGAGTGTGTGGTACTTGTCAGCAAAACGGAGGGAACCGCAGGATTATGGAAAGCAAGACCACAAAAAGGATAACACTTAAGTCGTCACTTGTGGAGGGGATAAATAATGATTAAGGACGTGTGGTGTTGACCAGTGCCCAGTATTCACAACTGGTCTGACTTAGTAGTGCCACCTAACTGATCACTTATACAAATAGTCTTAACTCCTGCACCTTGCTGGACAAACAATTCGCGGGTAACCTGTCACCCCAACCCATTGTCCGAACTGACAGTGGTCAGCGGGAACTCGGACGGACGTGATGGCCAGTGTCCGAAACAGGTCCTAATGGGCAAACAGGATGTGATGAGCGCTTATGGAAGTGATGACATCCAGACTTATTTAGTTATCACCTTCCTCTGACACGAGCCCCCACCCCCTAGGCATCCTCGCTCCCCCACCCCCTGCAGCCTGTCTATCTTCCCTCCCATACTGTTTATTAAACAGGTATGACATCTTGTTGAGCTTCTCTCTATCTGACTGCATTACGCACGAGCTAGAAGACGTGGCTTATCGTAATTAATGATATCATTAATTATCACTTTGTTAATATCACATGGAGAAAGGCATAGAGATGACAGATCTTCAATATTGCCTGGTGTTGTACACCCGTTCATATCTGAACGCGAAATCTGATATTAGCACATGTTCCACATATAGATATTTCTTAACTTTGTTACCTTTTCTTCAAGGATTCTCATCATATCAGTACGTATTAAAAATCATTCATTACAACATATATAAAGAGAAAACAGCCCAGAAAAATGGCTAATTATAAACGGGAAAGGTAGTACATTACTTGGTTCATGTATGGATCAGTCTGGTTTGTGAGGCATGTATGTTTCAGTCAGGTTTGTAAGACAGGTATGTTTCAGTCAGGTTTGTAAGATATGTTTGTTTCAGTCAGGTTTGTAAGATATGTATGTTTCAGTCAGGTTTGTGAGACATGTATGTTTCAGTCAGGTTTGTAAGATATGTATGTTTCAGTCAGATTTATATGATATGTATGTTTCAGGTTTGTGAGACAGGTTTGTAGGTTTGTACACATGTATGTTTCAGAGGTTTGTTTATGTTTCAGTCAGGTTTGTAAGATATGTATGTTTCAGTCAGGTTTGTAAGATATGTATGTTTCAGTCTGGTTTGTTATTCGTGTTTACTATATAACATTATATTATATTATTATATATATCATATTGTATTATACACAACAATTACGCGCTAGTCCCTATGATAATAACTGAATTGTATATTTAAAAATTATGGGGTATTGGCAGTTGACATTCGTGCATAATATTGAACTGCTTTAAATTGACATTCATGTACAATATGAATGCCAGCTGGAAAATTCAGCGATGTCATCTTCGAACTGTTCAGTTATTATACATATAATTTTTTAATTTTGGTGTCGTTACAAGGGGAGCAAAATCATTTGTTTTCATCGCTTGCGATACTTTTGTCGGTATATGAGCTGGTTATACACAACTGACTTATAGCTGTGTCGTACAATGGTTAGTATGTTGCTCTTAAATGCCAACTGAACACAGTTCAATGTTCAACTAGCAAGGGCTAAATTACTTAAAACGTCTTGCTCCTGTGCCTAACAACTACTATTTCTTCTCAGTTCTTGAAAACATCAATATTTGAAATACCTGTACGGCGAGCGAGCCTCAGGTGCAAGCTGCAGTGCCTTATATGTAGATGCAACAAGTAACCAGTGAAATTAATTCAGATATGTAGAAAGAACGTAATATATCACGGATTTAACACTAAGTGGAATTGTATAGATTTTTTCCTCTCTCTCTGAAAACAGCGAGTTTGGAATGCAGGACTAGGCGAGTTGAATGAATGTCTACCTGATGTTAATAATACACCTGTCTCGTACTTTACCACTTGAAACGACCTCTGACCCATCCCTCCCCTCCTCACCACAGCAACGGACAGAGAGCTGAGGAAATGTTGGAGCAGCGTATCAGCAAAATTAACGAGACCTCATTGCTTTCTCGTTCAAGAAACATTTTAAAATGCACACAAAGAACAGGTATAGCCATTGATACGGGGAAAATCAGATTTATAGAACAAAATCGGTGGGACAGGTTGTTTCTCGAACATCGATATTACACGATCCAATAACGCTGTCCTGGTAGTCAAATCCATCACAAGATGGCACGCAGCTTTCTCCGGAATCCGTCATCCGTATCATTGTATTACAATTTAAAAACAGGCACCTATGCTGTTCACACTATTGAATTAAACAAACAAAAATATTAATCCGGAACTGTGGAAGGAATCAATTACAAGGAGTACTTATCGGTGTAGGTCTGGAGTGTAAGGACCTCCAGGGATGACGTGATCCGAAAACCGTCCAAATTTCCCGGTGGACGTTTGCCACAACAATTTTCAAATTCAGGCAGGTTTTGGTTAAAAAAATTACTTTTAAACTGAATTTTCTGTATATTCTTTTATTGTCAACTCCATGCATGACTGCACGACTGCATGCATAAATATCTGCATGTAATTATCCTCTCCTGAGACAATAGAGAAACTACACTGCCAAAAGCAATGAGAATATAAAAATCGCATTCAAATTGTCCAGATTAACGTCGTGGATGTTTAGTTGTGTTTATGTTTTTTTAGATGGCCAAAAAAAAATCCCAAGGAATACGCCTCTTGTTAAGACAGCATATTACCTCTTCATT